CCCCCCCCTAATGTTCTCTGTTACGCCACTGAATGGGAGGTAAATAATTTCAGAAGAGACTGTTTGTAATTTTGAGACAAGTAAAACAGAAATAAGAGATAACATAATCCATTTTTCAATCAACTATCTTTTTATATTTAACATTTTCCGTAACTTCCATTGGATGTTTTATTTTAGGCTTCTTTACTTAAGTCAAAAAAACAAAAAAAAATTCATTTATTTATTAAATTATGTGTGCAATATATTTTTCTAAAACCTTTTTCATCTTTTTAAAATTTAAACTAAAATATATCTCTATTTATTTTTTATTAAAAGGAATGGGTCAATTATAAAGGACTATAAACTAGTGATTCTCAGCCTTTTTGTAGTTGTTGTGGTACACTTTTAACAATTACAAAATTTGGCAGCACACTAACAATAAGATAAATTCAATAGAATTTCTTTCATATGTAAATAGTTTATGATAATAATTTTCAATGCTAAATAAAATAATATGTATAACAAAGACAACAAACTGTTTATTGAGTAATTAATTAAAAATTAATGACAATAATACATTGATAGCAAAATTTGATCTGGAGGATTTTTGATAATTTCGTTTGTATTTGGTCGTAAAAATGATAATGCCACCCTCATTCCGTCCCTTACATTAAAAAGTTGTGATCTTTTTTTAATTTTTACATTTGTTAATGTAGAAAGTCAAAATTCCCGTACCTAAGATGTAGAAAACTGTAACAATATTTTTAGAGATTTGAGAGGGCTATTATGAAATAATTGCGTCTAATTTTAATCCAAAATGAATTGACTTTTCCGAATGTTTTGAAACTGAATCTCGATTATCACAAAACGGAATTAGTTTTTCCTCTTCATTCAAAGTTATTTCATGTACAGATGTATTCGTTATCACAAATGGATTCTAACTCAAACAAATTTTTTTCAATGCTTACTATTAGTTCCCACTCTCCCTATATATATATATATATATATATATACATACATACCTTGTTCAAATTTTTAATTGTTAATAAAATACTTTTATTCATCCACTCAAGTTCAAATACATTTTTTAAAACTTGTAGTAGATGGCACTTGATGTTCTTGATAATAATACAGTTGTTTCAAATATTAATTAATTAATCAATTAAAAAAACAACAATAGTCCAACATTATATATATAAAGGAAAATCGTTCGTAGTGACCCTGTAGCGCAATGGATAGCCCGCTGGACTTCTAATCCAAAGGTGTCATGGGTTTGAATCCCACCTGGGTTGACCAAATTTCTGAGAATGTGGTTTCTTTTTACTATACTATTTTATTGGAATAATTAAATTTAATTAAAGAATAAATTGTAACAAACAAAAATAATAGTTCAACACCCTATATAGAAAGGGAAATGGAAAATTGCAAGGAAAATCGCTTTCTGTTTTGCCACTTAATATTGTGATTCTCTCATATGTTTACATATATTTAAACAAATTGTAATTATTCAATGAAGACTAATTAAAATAAAAAAATTTCTATGCTGAGTCAAGTAGAAATTGACTTAAAACTTTTTTCATATTACTTGTTTATATCCATTTATCCACGAAAGGATTGGTTGAATATACCACGAATACCAGTGGCGTAACGAAGAATATTAGTGCCCTCTTTCTAAGTTAGGTTTTGCCTTTTATGTTTTATAAATTGGTTAAATACTTACTTGGCGTCAGTCAGGCTTTGGATCCCCCTAGAATTCCAGTCACCCCAACATTGTGGGTTTTACATTACGCCATTGACGATTACCCTTAGTTCCTTTTTATAAAACAGCCGAAACATTCGGTTCAGGATTTTATTTTTTTAAACATAGTTATTAATTTCAAAAAAAAAATGTTAATAATTTTTAAAAGTATAAATAATTTTTTTAAAATTTGGCGGCACAGTGATTGAGAATCACTGAAATAAACAAACTACATTGAAATTTAAGACTAATGGAGACCTCAGTACTACTTCTTAGTATACATATTTTGATTATGAAGTCTTAGAAAGTACGATACATTTTTAAAACCTTAGAGCTTCTTTAAGGTATCCGACTACGTTCGGAACCATGATTTTAAAAAAGTGCATAAATGGATAATTTTCATGATATTTAGTGTCACTTAGATTAGAATACATGTATAAAATTGTTTTAACGACATTTTGGCAAAAAAAAAAATTATTTTAATACAATATTTCGGCAAAAAATTAACTTCGAATAACCTTTTTTCAAAATGTTCTCCTTTTGTGCAAAATGCTTCTATTATAAT